CCGGAGGAGAGATAACTGGTTGCTGCAACAATTACTGGCCTCTCACCCTTCAGTGACCTCCCTGGTGATAAAACAGAGGTACCTGCCAAAAATGAACGAAAACCGATGCAAAACGAATGTTCGGGGGCCAAAACACGCAGTTCGGGATCTTGAAAATGGGCTGTTAAGCACCGAAAATGGTATTCGACCTCGAAGTGGGTTTCTCAGCCCCCAGTGTCCCTCAAAAGGGATGAAATAGGAAGTATGCCAAAAATCAAAGCAAATGGAGATGGTTAAGCGGTCCCGAACCGAGGCACACGGCCTGACGGCTCCGAAAACCGGAAACCGGACTCCGAAATGGGCAAAATGGCCTACGACCACCAAATGTAGCCTACGGCCACTGAGAGATGGTCTACAGGACCTCTCCCTCCCCTCAGGAAAAGAAACAGAGAAAACCGAGTCTGGTTCGCAAACCGAGACAAGGCACAGAAGAGGGTTCGGAAGTCTGGAGGCAGGGCTCACGGCCGTGACTCTGAAGCTTCTGAACAAGCACATTATGCAACATCACCAAGCGCTCAATCGGTGACGTCTGAGTCTTAAGGTCGGTCAAAAATGGGGTGTCTACAAGGAGGATCCTCGAAAATGAGACCAGTGGGGAAGATGCCAACTAGAGATAATGGGCTGGGGTCAAAGTAGGATTAGGGTTAGGGTTAAAGCTTGGGTTTGGAAGGATATGGATGAGGTTAAATTAAGAATTTCATATTAGGGTAAAATTGTAATGAAAATAAATTAAAGGGATGGGGGTTCAAAGAAGGAATGTAAAGGATTTAGTAACATTCTACAAATATTGTGCTTTCTTTTGGTTTAACATTATGTTTTCCCTCCAAGATTTGTTAGATCTTGTTAGTTTACATGTTGTACAAAGTACGACCAAATAATTGTCATTTAGAGAAGCATTGCTCATCTAACTTAGGTTCATAAATGATTTCATTTAAATTTCGATATTACTACAAATATTGTATTTTCTTTTGGTTGACTATTATGTTTTTTTTCCCTAATTTTATCAAATATTGTCAGTTAATACTTTGTATAGAATAAGAGTAAATAACTATCATTTAAGTTATTTTGAACAAAATATTGCCAAACAACAATCATTTAGGGAGATGTTAACTGTTTGACATAAATTCATAAATGATTTCATTTAAAATGCACTTTTGATTGAATATTCTCTTTTTCTACAAAATTTGTCGTATCTTGTTAGTTTACGTATTGTACAGAATATCAGTACACCTTTTATACATGTAAATGTAACTACCTAACTCAACTATAGTTCTAACTAACTCTCTAACTAACTAACAACAGATTCTATAATAACTATGGTTTAAGTAAATGCTGCTGACTGGACTTCTTTCCCTCTAAGACTGACTATGCCTTTGACTGGGACTTACATATCTCATTATGGTGAAGGTAACACTACAAGAAAATGCACTTTTGGCAACTAAAGTTCTCTTAACTAACTAACAACAGATTCTATAATAACTATGGTTTAAGTAAATGCTGCTGACTGGACTTCTTTCCCTCTAAGACTGACTATGCCTTTGACTGGGACTTACATATCTCATTATGGTGAAGGTAACACTACAAGAAAATGCACTTTTGGCAACTAAAGTTTTAGTCGCCAAAAGTAAGGTTTTTGTCACCGAAGCCTTTTCCCGACTAAATATTTTGGTCACTAGATTTGTTGCGGGAAAACGGTCGGGGAAGGTTTTGGTGACTAAAAAAAATTTAGTCGCCAAAAGTCCTATAAATGGATACTAATGTTTAGTAGGGAAAAGTACGAGGTATTGGCGACTAAATATTTTTTAGTAGCTAAAAGTCATAAATTGGCGACTAAATATTTAGTCGCCAAAAGTTTTCAAATAAAATTAATTTTCATTTTCAACGACTAAAACTTTTAGTCGCCCAAAGTATCATTTATTATTAGCTACTAAATATTTAGTCGCCAAAAAAAATTAATTTTCATATTTTTTTAAGCTACTAAACTATTTAGTCGCCTAAAATCTCATATATTTTTGACTACTAAATTTTTAGTCGCCAAAAAATCTTTGGTTTGTTTTTGGCAACTAAATTTTTAGTGGCGAACAAGTTTTATTTTGTTTTTTTGGCTACTAAACATTTAGTCACCAAAAACTTTATTTAGTGTTATTTTTTTTTTATTATTATTATTAATTTCTGCACAACCTGTATTTATTTCGTGCAACCTGAATCCTGTATATAAACAAAACAATACATATGTCTATATCTATTTCACTTTCAACCATCCAAAAATTTGGTCTTGTAACATCAAATTCTATACAAACCAAATATAATCCAACCCAAAATAATAATTCCATACAAACAGATAATCATACAAAAATGATGTCCTCCGTATACAAAAAAGAAATATCTACTAGTAATCTATACCACTAGAAAATAACTTCATCTCTGTTGGATCAACAACTATTGCAGTAATTGGTAGTGGAAAAGCTCGAGTTTGTAAAAGTCTCCCAGTAACAAGGTCCCATACCTACAATACGAAAATAAGTCATTTCGAGAAACAAAAATACTCATGCCAGGAAGATATTATTATGAAACATTTAACATAATTAAGTAACCTTGCATGTGCCATCGAGGGAGCTCGATAAAAAAAATTGAACTTGAACCACTTGATGCAGTTAATAGGCCCGTTATAGAGGATGAAAGCTCCAATGAAAAAATTAGTTTTAAAGCCACAGTCCAACAATCTGTCTCATCTACCAAACTTCCACCAAACAATGTGATTACAAAATCAGTTATTTATTTTTCCTGAAAAATAAAACTAAACGACATTCAAATACAAACATTAAATTGTTGAAGAAACGAAGATTCATTTTTTTTACCTGATCATAGGCCAAATAATGATCATGCCATCTTCTGAACCAGAAATAAGAAATGAATCATCGCTGGAAAATGTCAAGCAAGTCACTGATTTTTTATGTGAGCACCAAGTCCTGACCAATCTCCCATTTGAAATCTACAAATTACCATGACACTCAATATTTGAAAATAATGACTACAAATAATATACACAAATTAAGCTAATGGTCCACAAAGACAACCATTTAGAAATTTTTTATATTGTGATCAATTTCATGTAAAGTACTGATGAGATTAAAAAAAAAATGATCTTTGCATGTGGGGCTACAAAAATATCATTAACACATCATTTTGGATGTATTTTCTATTTAAACTGTCTGTCTTTAAAATACCATATTCTTTGTTCGTCTTTTCTCTTCACTGAAGGAGTTGAATGTTTCCTCCCAAATACAATAACAAAAAACAGACAACATTCAAAAATTAATTGCTGAACTGCATGAAAAACGAAAAAACATGAGTAGAAGTAATTTCAAAAACATTTATGAGAAAAAAAATTCACCTGTTGTTTTTAAAGCATTCAAATCTTCTCAACAAGCCTAAAAGAACACAAATGTAGAAGCCATACAAGCATACTCATCAAGCAACCACAGTGAATTTTCGAATCAGGAAAAATAAAAAGCTACTGACAACACATTAATAACAAGCATACCAATCAAATAGCCTAGCATAAATAGTCTTTGCCAAAGCATCCCGACTTGCAACAGCAGCATTACAATCCAAAGCTTTAACAATAATCCCTTCACGAGTTTGAATTGAACATGTGCACAGAGTAGACAATAATAGATTTACATCAAACCTAAGCAAAAATGCAATCTAGTCAGCTGAGTTTATCATGAGCCAACAACCTCCAATAAATGGAAAAGCAAAGATTGCATCATCAACAAAGAAACAAACACAAAATGCTCAGCAGCTAAGTCAGTCAGGCTCAGGCTCAATTAGTTCGCATCACACTAATATTGATATTCTTTTTTATACTACAAATCCCAAGTAAATGAAGCATTTATTATTCAAGCACCCAAGGCTCCATAAATACAAGAATAGTCAATTAGATTATCAAAGATATAGTTAAAGATACAGTAATAAATGCAATTTAGTCAACTGAGATTATCAAAAGACAAAAACATGGGAAGTTGCATCATCAACAAGAAAACCAAACTATAAAAGCTCAACAGCTAACTAAGTCGGGTTCAATTAACTTACATCCGATTAAAAGCTATACATTCATTTTGATACTCCAAGTCCCAATTAAACGATGCATTTCTTATTCAAGCATCCAAGGCTCCACAAAATACAAGAAGAGTACTTTAGACCAACATAATTTAAGATGTAATAACTCTTAACACCTGATGCATTAACACTTTTTAACACTTTATGCACATAACAGGAGAAGAAAAATAAATCCACATCAATTAAATGTCGATGACTCGATAGTTTTAAGCATAGGACTTGTTTAGGAATTGTACATACTTAGAAACTTTGATTGATTATGGATTCAGTTATTTCTTATTTATTGTTACAACTAATTACGTCATTCTAGTCTTTTTAGAGTGGTAAAATGCTCTATTAATTAAAGTTAAAATGTTTTTAAATATTCTATTATGAAAGAGTTGCTAAGTTGTCAAAGTTTTCTATTTAAATATTTTCACTCGAAGTTAAGTACTTAAAACAGCTAATATCCAAGTTAGTCAAACATTTTGTTCCACAACAATAGTGCAATATAAGAAAACTAATCCAAGTCTCAACAATGTTCGAAGTTCATCTATGACAGAGGAAAATAAAATAAAGTATAAAATGACAAATAAAATTTCAATAAATTTGATAATATAATAATTTTATTAAAGAAGCAGAGGAAAAAAGAAGATTAATGTTGCAATAGCAGCATAAACTAGGTTTGATGATGTAACAAACAAAGGGAAATCACATATAATTTATAAAGCATTACCTTTAACTCTGGCAACCTAATAACACATGCACATTCAACTACCACAGCCCCAACACGTTCTAGTTGATAACAATTCCATGCACATTAGTTGTTGGCTAGAGAATTAAGGAAAGTGTTGAAATACACATACTGAACTAAGAAAGAAAAATCATGAAAGAAGCCCTAGAAGTTACCTAAAAGCCTTATGGCTGCAGATAGTGTTGTCGCCACTAAATCATCAATGACCAAAACACGTTCCCCAGGTTGAACAGCCCCAAGGTGCATCTCTAAACAATCAGTACCATACTCGAGCTCATAGTCTTCGGAGATAACTTCCCCTATATATTGCAAAAAATTACATTTTCACATCAGATTTTATCAGGAAAAATTTAATTGTAGAAAGCAAGAACTGATAACAGTAACTAAATTCCAAACGCCACAATGAAGTTGAATGGTTATTGACAAAGAAGAATGAGAAAAGTTGAGACAGTTATCAAGAAACATGCTACTACCAAACTTCAGTCACATATAGGTGCCTAAATACTAAATCCAATAAAGGCTTGCACTACAGGAAAAATAGGTTTTAATGGCGTTTTTTTAACGACGTTTTGTTAAACGTCGCTTTTGTTAATTTTTAACGGCGTTTCTATAACCGCTGCATATTGTTTAACTAAAACGACACCGTTTTATAATTGAAACCGCCTCCAAATGCGGTAGGTACACGCGTTGATGCTTCTTTGTGAAACATTTATTTTGAATCTGAGCCCTTTCTCTCTCTCAACCATTAAACGCACACATCTCTCTCTCTGTCTCTTAACGATGAAGAAGACGAAGGAGATGACTCTAGGAAGAATCTTCGTTTCTCGAAAGATCAATCGGCTGTTCTTGAAAAGTGCTTCAAAGAACACAACACTCACAATTCTGTAAGTATACATAACACTAAGTCTTAGCTTGAAGCTCAGCTATGGAGGTCGGGGTAGTTTGGTTGTTTTACTGAGATCTCTGTGATTTCTCTATCTCTCTCTCTCTCTCTCAACCCTTATACGCACTCAATCTTCCATCGAAGCTCCATCTGCACTGGCGATTTCGAAGATTCAAAATGATTTCGAAGCGATTTCGAAGATTCAAATCGATTTCGAGATTCAGAGCGATTTCGAAGCTCCATCGCCACCACCATCTACACCGGCGAGGTAGTGAGCTCCATCCTCTCTCTCTCTAGATCTCTATCTCTCTTTAGATCTATGAAATCAATGTTTTTAAGGCATTCTTATTTGATCTTCATTTGCAGAGATTCAGTGACTTCAGAGCGATTTTGATTTCGAAGCTCCATCCCCACCACCATCTGCACCGGCGATTTCGATTTCGATTTCACTAAGGTGAGCTCCACCGTCTCTCTCTCTCTCTCTCTCTCTCTCAGTTTCCTCTCAAATTACTTCAATTTTTTTGTGGCTTCTCTTCTAATGATCTGAATCTTGTTTTTATTTTTTCATAGTCAAGTTCAAGCTCCTTCCCCCTATCCAAACCTAAGACGCTGAGAAGAAAGGCTGTAAGTTGTTTGATTTCACTTCTAAATTTGAAACAAAATTTTTTTTTGGTCATGTTTAGTTTTTAAGTGTTTTGTGGTGCAATAGAATCTTGTTTGGAGGTTACACTGATCAGATGGTGGGGGATGCAAATGCTGTTAAATAACCATACTTTTATTGGCATGTCAGCTAGGCCCAAGGTGTTGTCTGATACTTTTATGGTTGAAATTCCAGACTGTTGGCTATGGGGGTGAGGGGTGTACCTCAGTGTGAACGTTAGTGGGAACCAGATTCTAGCAGGCTGTGATCACAGTGGCAGTAGTAGGTTTGTCAAAGGTCATGGAAGTTGTTGATCAAGGGCATGTTGGATGTAATCAAACAGCATAGTTTCTAGCTTTCACATTGTTATGGAGCAATTCTTCATCAATTGGTATTGGTGAATACATATTGATTGGTCAGATGACTCATCTCTATGTTTAAAGCATTGGGCAAGTAAGTAAATATTATTGAACAAAATAGAATATTGAATAGGAACAACAAATGAGATTAATGTGTAGTGTGATAAATGTATTGTTGATTGACTTTGGTAGTATATGTTTCTCTTTTCTCTTTCACTAAGCAACATATTTATACAATTAAATTGTTTGTTCTATATACTTCTGTAGTGGATATCTAATTTAGTTAGTTGTCTTCTCTTTTATTCTTATGTTGACTCTAAGCAACAAATGAGTTATCATTGGTTTATTTAATGTTAAATGCCCTAGAATCCTAGTACCATCATGTTTATTCCTCCTATTTTTTTAATTTATTTTTAAAATTTTTAATTTTTTGATACTAGAAATCAGAGATAGCATGGATAAAGAAAACTAAATTATTTTTTTAGGTTACTAGTTGGATTCATACCCCACTTGTTGCATTGGATATATATATCAAGTGATGAAATATTGGTGTAATGCAACTTACATTGTGATTATTATCAAGCATGCAGTTAAATTTGACGGAATTTAGTGTGTGGTGTAGTCCTTTTTGTTTGCTACTGATAAAGATTATACCTAATCTCGGGCTGCTTAAAATTGATTGTTGATTTTTGTTCAAAATGCCAGTTATTGAGGCTAGCAATGGGCCATGTAGTTTTCATGCCTACCATGACATATGTTTGTGGATGGCTTTGGACCGTATCTCTTCATCTCTCTCTCTCAAAGGGGGACAAAAGAACATGTCTTGAATGGGTCTTAGAGGTGATTAACTATAACAGAGTCAATTTTGATGTCACAGTGTATTTGTAGTAAATGATTCAACCAAAATAAACTATAAAACTTGTTGATTTCAGCCTTGACAGAGCTATTGGTCAAAAGGGTCTCGTTAAACTCAGTTACAGGTTGAAGTGGGCTCTGTTGGAATGAGGATGGTTCAACAACATTAGGGTACATATTAACAATGCTGATAAATATTATACATTCTTTATGACACATATTTTTCATGTAGAATATACAATTATTTTAAGTTTCTTGAAATGTGCCATAAAGGCACAAGTTAAGTTAACAAAATCATTTTAAGAATTCATGCCACCACTTTTGCTGTTATATTACAACCACTTTAGCAAAACATGTCAAATTTTTTTTTCCTATTTACATATTTTAGAAACAATTTGTCATGCAAATTTTGTTAGTTTTTTTTTTATTTTAATTTCTATATTCAAAAATTGTAAATGAAAATTATACCAAAAGTGCCCTAACATACCTGGATTATCAACTTTAAATCTTATGACAACCCATCCATTCTTAGGGACCCCAACAGTGTTCAACTCAGGTGGATCAACCAATTTAAACCCTTTCGGGTCTGTTTTCTTGTCAAAATTCCCAAAACCTGACCCAACGACATAAAAACTGAACCCATGCAGATGCATTGGATGATTTTTAGTTGAACTCAAGACATTGGTCCCCTGTTTTGGAATGTCTTTCCATCTTCATGTTTTTGTTTAAATGTGCTCAATAGGCCCATTAATTGCTAAAGCAATGGTTGGCTATTTTTTGGAGGTATTATTTTCCAAGAGTCATATAATTCTTTTCTTTAGCTTTTCTTGGTATATTGATGGGTTTTTGTTTTTTATCTATTTTTTTTAATTCATTATTCTGATTTTGTGCAGTTATATTTTTGGTTATCTTTACCTTTTGGCAGAGCTAGTGCTTTTTGGACTTGTGTCATTGCTAATGGATTATTGGATCATTTTTGTGGCCAAGATTTGCATTAGATCATCAGCCTTTTCAGTGGGCAATGAGATTAGAGAGATGTGAAAGGGTAAATTTTCGAAGTCTTCAAGATTATATTTTTTTAAGAATTTAGATGTCATTTGATTTTGAAGTTTCAAGATTTTCAATCTCAATATTTCTTAAGAATATTTTCTTATTGTTCTTGAAATTTCAACATGCAATTTTATTGGTTGATATCATTGCTAGGTGAATTGTTTGAGCCCTTCAACGGACAGAGTTGTTATAGAATGTCGATCACCTTGAAAAATGATTTGGTATAAACTAGCCTCCTAATCTTGAAAAAGCCTTGAATAAGATTTTATTTCGTATTAATTGACAAAAGAAGTATTTTGCAGATCCTAAAAAGAAGGTTACAGTAATTAAGTTAAGCTTTCATTTATACTGCTTAACAATCTCACATAATATACCTAATTAGCTAATAGGTTCATTGAAATCCTAATAAATATTGTTATAGAATGTTTATCGCCTTGAAAAATGATTTGGTATAAACTAGCCTCCTAATCTGGAAAAAGCCTTGAATAAGATTTTATTTCATATTAATTGACAAAAGAAGTATTTTGCAGATCCTAAAAAGAAGGTGACAGCAATTAAGTTAAACTTTCATTTATACTGGTTAACAATCTCACATAATATACCTAATTAGCTAATAGGCTCATTTAAATCCTAATAAATATTGTTATAGAATGTTGATCGCCTCGAAAAATGATTTGGTATAAACTAGCCTCCTAATCTGGATAAAGCCTTGAGATAAGATTTTATTTCATATTAATTGACAAAAGAAGTATTTTGCAGATCCTAAAAAGAAAGTGACAGTAATGAAGTTAAAATTTCATTTATACTGCTTAACAATCTCGCATAATATACCTAATTAGCTAATAGGTTAATTTAAATCCTAATAAATATGTCATGTATTGATCCCTTACTAACTGGAGAAGTTCAATCAATACCTGCTAACTGTTAGGTTAACTGCGATTGATTTCATTCTGGAAATTAGGTCTTGGTTGGGAATTGGTTTTTTTAGTGGCGAATTGGCTTTTTAATGAGGTAAAATTAATGTGTTTGGGAATGAACTTTTTGAGTTGTTTTGAAAACTGTGAATTACTGAGATGTTTGACTTTTTTTATGGGCTTTTTAGATTGTTTTATTGACTTTTTGGATCTCATTTTTTTTTTTTTTGGGTGGCAAGTTGCCAAATGGAGCCTTAATCACATTGAATAAAGCTGACCATAAGCATTTGTACCAGTATAACTTTCTTTATGAAGAGTTCAGGTAATTTTGAACCTGCCCATATGCTGGCATGAACACAAACGAATGTCTAATATTTTAAATCAAATCAGATTGGGCAGATCCCACACCTTAAGGGTGAAAATGAATACTGCAAATAATTTCATTTCAGATCCTATGGTTTCAATTTATACTGCAAGATCTCTAGATTCATTATCTTCTGAAATGTTGTGAGAAGAAACATTACATGTGCATTGCAATTAGAAAAAATTTCTAATTTTCAAGAGAAAAAGCCTAGGCATGTGACTTCTGGTTTGAACAGCCACTTTGCACAAATGATGCAAAGCTTTAGTGGTTGTTTAGGAAACCACAGAACCGGTTTTGTTGGGTGATTTGGAGCCTCGTTCGATTAAATCCAACAAGATTAGAAAATAGATTTCTCAGGTCCTTCATATATAAAGCAGCACTAATTTTTTTTTGTTTTTTTGTTTTTTTTGTTTTTTGTTTTTTTGTTTTTTTGTGGTGAGGTTAGTATAGATATAAAAACCAGACAAGGCTTGTCAACATTGATCAGGTCAATGGAATTCATTTGCATAGGAAATTTAGAAAATGAAGCAGGCATGTAATTCTTTAGAGTTGAATACCTTTCTTTTTTTAATTGGAGGGAAATATGATTTTTCCTTTCTGATGAGGATTTATTCTTCTGTGATTTCTGCATCCATTATTCTATTGATTCCAAATAAAAAAAATAAAAATAATGTGTTTTACTTTGATGTTCAGATAGGACCAAGGATTGGAAGTGATATCAGAAGGTTTGGATACATTGAAAAACATGGCCCATGATTTGAATGAGGTTTCCTACTGCCTTATGCATTTGTATCTATTGCTTTGTCCCATTTTGTGCACATCAATTTTTGACTTTGGAATTCATACAGGAAATGGATAGGCAAGTTCCTTTAATGGACGGATTGACACTAAGATTTGAGAACACATCCTGTCCTAGTAATATCTGAAGCTACAAGTATTCTTAAATTATTAATGGTGTATTTTCACACCCTACAGGTCAACAATGCAGCATCTAACTATGTTTTACTTTGATGTTCACACAGGACCAAGGATTGGAAGTGATATCAGAAGGTTTGGATAAATTGAAAAACATGGCCCATGATTTGAATGAGGTTTGCTACTGCCTTGTGCGTTTGTATCTGTTGCTTTGTCCCATTTTGTGCACATCAATTTTTGACTTTGCAATTCACACAGGAAATGGATAGGCAAGTTCCTTTAATGGACAGATTGACACGAAGGTTTGAGAACACATCCCGTCCTAGTAATATCTGAAGCTACAAGTATTCTTAAATTATTAATGGTGTATTTTCACATCCTACAAGTCGACAATGCAACATCTGACCTTAAGAACACCAATGTGAGACTTAAGGATACTGTTAACTAGGTGATTGAGCTGCCACTGTATTTTCTGTAGATTTGCATCACTTTGTGTGTTGCAGAGAGAGAGAGAGAGACAGAGACAGAGATTCAGCTATGCTATGTCGTAGATCTCTTTGCTGCATTTGACAGAAAGTTTTGATTTGTTTCAGCTGAGCTCCAGTCAAAATTTCTGTATTGATATTATGCTGTTGTGCATAATTTTTGGGATTGCCGCCTATCTATACAAGTAAGTTTCACTTTCTCAAAAAAATGGAGAGGAGCTGTTTTATCTAATTCTTGGTAATAGCTGACATGCTTAATGGACTCTAGAAAATAATTTCATTCATGGGTGAAGTTATAGTTAGAAGCCAATAATTTAACTTATAAACTAAAGCTGAGTGCATGGTTATTTTGATTTGGATCTTCTTCTTGGTTTGTTGTTATGTTTTATGATTGGCAGAGACCGAAAGGATTGAAGGCCATGGGAAGCAGCATGGAGAGCGATTCAGAATGACAATGAAGGATGGATGGGGGCTTTCCTTCGGATTCTTATTCTCTTCTTTTTTCTTTTTCTTTTTTTTCCTTTGATCTGATTGGGGAGTTGGGTGTTTTGGTTCAGTTTCTTCTTATTTTTTATGTTAAATGGGGGAGGGAGTGGTGAGAGAGAGAGAGAGAGAGAGAGAGAAGAGGGTAATGCTATTTTGTGGATTTGTATACAAAGTAGTAATTAATATTTTGGTTGAGAATTGTGACTACAATTTTTGGATATGTTATTTTGGGGGTAATATTAAAATATCATTTGTGGATATGTTATTTTGTGGGTAATGGTCATTGGTGAATGGGAAAGTGAATTAATGATGCATTTGCTATTTGAATGTAAGTTATTATTTTATATTATTGTTATTCAATTTTATTATATGTATTTTTTTAGTTTAATCACATAAAATTAGTATAATTTCAAAAAAAAAAGGAGATGTCACGGCGTTTTTCAAAAACGCCACTTAAACCCTAAATATTAACGGTTAGATTTTTTAAAAAAGATATGACGACATTTTAAAAATGTTGCTAAATATCATAATGGTGTCATGATTTGTTAAGTAAGACATTTGGCAGCGTTTTTAAACGCCGCCTATACTAATATAACGACATTTTTAAAACGTCACAAAGTTATGGCGACGGCCGCGTCCTCGGCGTTTGGTGCTAAGCGTCGTAAAAAGAATTAGCGGCGTTTTTGACACTTATAGCGGCGTTTAAACGCCGCTAAATGCTGAATTTCCTGCAGTGTTGTGTGGACATACCATGGAAGTTGAATTACGATGTTCAAATGTCTTTAGCACAAATGACAACCAAAAAAGTTCTTGCTCTCTCCCATGCATATAATTTTTTCTGTTTCACTGACTGCTCAACCAACTTGGTTGTATTCTAGGATGTTCTTCCACAACCTCTTAGAACGATGCCAACGGTTAAATTGCCAAGCTTATCAAGGTAACAACACTTGACGTTTCAATTTCAATGAACAAAAAATTAAAGTCTAAAAGCATGCCTAGCATAGGTGCCTAAATTCAAAGTCCACCAAGAGCTTGTGTGGATATCACGTTGAAGATGAATTGTATCTTTTTTGTCTCTTGCCGTGAACTTTCATTGTTGGGTTGGTTAGAATCTCAAGTTTGGTATGTTAGTGCAATTTGTTGCTGCTACAATAATTTATGAACAAAATTCCCAAGGATATGATTGGTGTTTAAGACTATTAAGTTTTACTACAAACAAATAAATTTCATTTAATGGCCTCTAATATTTAATTCTCTGACTTCAAATATTGCAAAACAAATTCAATAAGGCCATAAATACATACAAAATGATTTTTAAAAATAAACTTAAATAAAATAAAATAAAAAAACTAACACAACCTTATCATCGAACTTTTTGCCATTTTCCAATTAATGAGTTGTCATCAAGAAATACAAATTGTCCAAACACATGCGGTCAAATGGAATGCTGAACAATTACAAGATTTTATTGGCCATTCAAAATTATCAAAAAATAAAAAGAAATACTTTAGTAAACATAGTGGTTACTGTAGACACGCCCTGGGGCTTCATGCTACAGTTCAGACTCAAAATGTCACGGTTCTTAATCTGATCTCACAATATACGATGTGAGATTGATAAATCACCAAAGAGTCCAAATTCGGCAAACCGTTTTGGAAAACTGATTTTTGTAAAGAAGTGCCATACATGGACTGCTTTGCCAGATATAGAGTCGCCACCTAAATATTTTGTTTTGGGG